CGGCCCGGCAGCGGGGAGAGCCGGGCCCGGGAGCTGGGAGAGTGAGGCCCGTTTCGTGAGCGGGGAGAGCTCTGCCGGCGTGCGGGGAGGTCCAGGTCCGGCCCAGGAGCGAGGAGAGTGAGGTCCGAGAGCGGGGCGAACCCGGCCCTGGAGCGGGGAGAGCCGGTCACAGCCGTGGGGAGAGTGAGGCCGAGAGCGAGGAGGGCCCGGCCCGTTTTGGGAGTGGGAAGAGCTCAACCGGTGTTTGGGAAGGGCTAGGTTCAGTCCGGGAGCCAGGAGAGCCCGGCCTGGGAGCCAGGAGAACCCGGCGTATCTTAGCAACAAGGACAATGGGGCCTGGACATGGGGGAGCTGAGGGCACTGCCTGGGGGTCGTTGCTGTGTTTCCTTAACCACGCCGTCAGCTCCCAGCTCACTATCAACACGGCCATCGTGTACATGCATCGCTTCTATATGGTGCAGTCCTTCACCCAGTTCCACAGGAACGTAAGTGTGCAGGGGTCTGGTGGGGTGGGGGCCACCGGGAACCTCCCAGCTCTGCCCCTGCTGCTGCCTGGCAGCCACCTCGGGGTGGGTAACGTGGTGGGACCGACCCTGGGGAGGGGGCTTGGAAAGGGGAAGAGTGGTTCGTAGCTGCTGGTGGTCACCAGAGACCCTTTTCCCTCCTGGTAGTGTTCGGACTTTGTTTGCTAAAGGAACATTTGTTTTAGATGTGAGAATTAGCCCGATGTATTTGCTTTATTCTTGACCTTACTAGCTTTAAAAACGAAAATTACGTTTTTCTTCCTCTGAAGGCGGTGGTACCAGCAGCTCTGTTCCTGGCAGCCAAGGTGGAGGAGCAGCCTCGTAAGCTGGAGCACGTAATCAGGGTAGCACACGCCTGTCTGCATCCCCTGGAACCTCTTCTAGACACCAAGAGCGAGGTAAGTGTCCAGGTCGGAGAACCGGGCTCTGCTGCGAGGAGCGCAGGCACGAGGAGTGGGAATGGCGGAAGCGTGGTGCATCCTGAATCGCGTGGCTACGGCGTCTCGTTGGGTCGGCTCCAGCAGCGCCCGCTCTCTAAGCAAGCGGCTGTGGCCTAGGATGGCCAGCGCCAGCTTTCCAATTCGAGAGCTTTTTGGCTTCTGTACAGCTGCAGGCTTCTCTTTCCTGCTCTGTGCAGCCTCTTCTGTTCTCTGCTGCGCTGCTGCAGTGTGACTCGGATGTGCTGTGTAACAGTGTCTGCGTGAAAAGCTTCTGAGGAGGGCATGGATGTTGGCTGCTGCGACTGAGCAGTGTCTGTGGCAGAGCAGAAGGTGGTGTGCGCAGTTTGGGTCTGTTCTGCCCCCACACGCTTTCATGGTGGGTTTATTAAAACGTTGCCGATCCCCCATCTCTTGAGACAGCCCGTCTTACCTGGAACTGAGCAGCCAACCCTGCTGAAAAGGGGCAGCTTTATCCAGGAAAGCTTAAGGAAAACGTTTTTAAAAGCAGCCAATTCCTCTCTGTACTGCTGGTGTAGCCGTCCCGTGCAGTGCGAGGGACCAGGACTGAGAGGGCCACTGTGGATCCCGAAGCAGCCGCCCCTAGCAGAGGCCCTGGCAGGGGAGCGGGTCCACCCCAGCGCTCTGCTTTCTCTTTTCTGGCAGGGAATCTGTGCCAGTTCCCCCAGTGCAGATCGCCAGAAAGATTCCCCTTTGCTGTTTTTGCCTCCCTGAGAAAAGGGTGTTAGAAATGTGCAGGCTTTATACGGAAGTGCCTCATCGTGAGTAACTTGCCTGTCCTCTCAACCCCAGGCTTACCTGCAACAAGCCCAAGACCTGGTCATTCTAGAGAGCATAATACTGCAGACCCTGGGTAAGTTTTTCCAAGCGGCCGGGCTGCCACACCAATCCCAGACCCAGGAGTGCTCCGCAGAGCCTGACCGCAGTCTTCTCCGCAGCTGGAGGGCAGATGTGCAGCTGGCCAGTGGGACTGCAAGAGCCCAGGCAACAAGCTCTGATTTTTCACACCCACTCCTCCTGTTTTCCTTTTAACATCCGTTTTTTCAGGTGTAACTTGGGCCAGGTTCAATGCTCAGAGAAATTAAAGCGTGGAAGCGTGGCTCGTCTCCCCCCCAGCAGGTTTTGAACCGCTTGGGCACCGTCGCTGTCCTCCCCTGTGCTGTTGAACTCGATAGTCCTGTGGGCAGGAAAAGTTTGCACTGAGAGATGGCTACAAAAAACCTGGGCTGAACGTTAATGTGTTGATCAGATAGCTGAACGTGGGGGAAAAAAGAGCAAACCCAGCAACGGTTTCTGGGGATTTTTTGAAGTAGAAGCTGGAGCCTGTGTTGGGGCTGTGGCCGTTGGATCTGGTACCCTGTTCCTTTCTACAATGTACTGTTACGACTTGCTGTCACTAACGTGTGTTCCGTTTCAGAGGCAGTTCGTAGGTAGTGCCCCCCTCCCAAACCCGCAGCGGCCCTTTGGTTTCTGGGCTGGTTCAGAGCAAACGCCGCGCGTCCCTCGCTCGGAGGGGACGGGGCAGCACCGAGGCCATGGGCTGTGCGTGCTGGGACCCCGGTTCTGCAGTGGCTCGGTGCTCCATTTGCCCTTTGTAACGTCCCAGTTCTTCTGGAAAGTTCTGCATGGGAAGAGCCAGATGTGTTGCACACATGGACCCATTTGAACTTTTCTTTCCTTTAAAACATAATGCCCAGACTGAATAGGAAGCCAAAGCGAGTACTGAGTCAGTTGTCTTTAGTGCTGAAGGCTCCTTCCGAGGGAAAACGTCTGCTTCCTCTTAGCTTTTTGGGTGACAGAAATTCCTTTGAGCAGATGCCATTGTCTTCTCCTTCCTCCCAGCTGCTGTCAGAGGCCTTGTCCTGCTGTTTTTAAGACCCTTCATAGTTGTTTTGTTTGCAGTGAGGTCTCTCGAGCGCAGAAGCCATTGAGCTGCTGGAGGTGCAGCGACCTTCGGGTTTTATGGCCGGAGCATTGAGTCTTCTGGATGCAGGAAAACGAGCTCCTCTGTTCTGCGGCCTGGGAGCAGAGCGCAGGGCTGTAGCAGGGAAGGGAGAAGGCCGAGTCCCCAGCAGCAGGAAACGCGAGGTTGGTGGATCCGCGGGGCCGTGCGCTGCTCCCCTGATGGTGTCTGTCTGTGTTCCTGCAGGTTTCGAGATCACCATCGACCACCCGCACACCCACGTGGTGAAGTGCACGCAGTTGGTGCGAGGTGAGCGCTGCCGGGGGCTCGCGGCTTCTGCGTAACCTGGGCAGAGCGAGGCAGGGAAACGCGTTGTGTGGAGCTGGGACTCGCCTGCGGTCGGTCCCCTTGGTAACCATAACGAATGTCACAGAATTGCTGCGGCTGGAAAAGACCTCTGAGACCAAGTCCAGCCTCTGTCAGATTAGAGGCAGTGGCAAACGACTGATGCGATGTCGTGGCTCTGCTGGGCCTCCCAAAGCTGTCTGTGGGCAGTAACTTCTAAAATCCTTTAGGTGTGGTGTGGAGTCAGTCAAACTGCTGGGTGTTTTACTGTGTGTGGTGGCAAGAGACCCACGTTTTGTGCCGAAATGGAGTAATATTTGTCAGGAAATGCAAACTAACGCCCTGCTTTTCCTTTTCTCTTTCAGCCAGCAAGGACTTGGCGCAAACTTCCTATTTCATGGCTACAAACAGGTTATTATTTTACAATTGATTCCTATTTGGTCTGGAGATGTGCTGCTGATCCTGGGCATGGGTTGGCTGCGAGCAGCAGGGATCGTGGGGCCTGGATCCCTTCCTGCAGCACAACTGGGGATGCTCAGGAGCTCCACTGCTGCCTCTGCGGGGAGTCGGGGTTGGGAAAGTTAAACCAGACCAGAACAAAAAGGTGGATGTGAAGTGAATATTTACATTTGTACTTGGTAGTGAACAGGGTGCAGTGCAAATCGTCAGCGGGTACGGTCTGTGCCCCAGAGCAGGCTGAGGTCGGGTGCAGAGGGAGGAACCGCTGGCCCTGTCTGGTCTGCGGGACCGGGCAGTGCTGTGAGCGCCCGCTGGAAAATGGGAAAGTTCCCGGTGCTCCCCTTGGGAGGTCTGGGAGTTCAGTCCCTGGGTTCTCACTGCAAGGCTGATGCCAGCCCTGCTGCTGGGGCTTGCGGCGTTGTTTTAAGATGCGATTCCCTGGGTTGCCAGGTTCAGGCAGAGCAGAGCGAGTGTTTGGGCAGGAAGAGTTGTGTTTTTGTGAGAAGAGTCGTCGGACTGCGAGGGTGGGAGAAAAGCGATGGTTTCTGTGGTGTGCACGGGCGAGTCGCTGGTGCCCGCCGTTTGCTGAAGGTGCTCTCCAGCTCCAAAACCACGGCGTGGGCTTCCCGCACGAGCGAGCCTGAGGGGAAGGTGGTGTCGGTAACGTGTGAGTAAAGGCACCTCTGAAACGTGCGTTCTCCCTCCAGCAATAACGGCAGAACCGAGGAGGTACGGGTTGAGGTCAGAGCTGACAGAAATGCAGCCGGGCAGCCTCAGTTTTAGTGGTGCCACGAAACACCAGACCCAGGTGCTCAGGGCTGAGCTGGGTCTGTCGGGTGTGGCTGGAGGCGCCCATCGCTGGGGGGCACAGTTCGGGCGCTTTGTGCGCCGTGACTCCACGCCTTGGGTAAAGCTCCTCGTGTGCTGGGTTTGTTGTGGTGCAGCATCCGTGGAACCACCTCAGCATGCTTGGCTGTGGATGTGTGCGTCTGTCTCCACGTTGCACTGGTGGAAAAGCGCGTGATAATCCTGGTGGCACCGTTTCCCGCGCCCTTGTAAAGGGCCATTGGCGAGCGCGACCGTGGGCAAATCCTGCGCCCGCTCGTGGTCGGTCCCTGGTGCTCCCGCAGCAGAGCAGGGGCCTTCCCCAGCACCTCGGTGCTGCCTGAGCCTCCCCGCGCCGATGTGAGCCGTCGCTGCTAAAGTAATCGCTAATGAGAACGCGGGATGGGCAGCCAGGCTCCTGGGTCACTCCGGTGTGTTCACAGCCAGAGCTTCAGTGCTTTTCCTAAAAATCGCTCGGGAAAGACCAGACCCTTCCCAAAAGCCCAAAGCTCCTTGAGCGCCCTCCCCGGAGCTGCCCTTGCAGGTGTTGAGTTTGCGTAGACCGCGCAGAGCCCGCAGCAGCAGCGGGGCTGGCAGGGAACC